GTGACTTTAAATGAACAGATTAAAACTTTCTCCATAAAAAAAATGAACTGTTCAAAGAAAGAAAGAAAAAATAATGATAGCTGCTCTCTGGAGAATGAGGCACTGTCTCGTTCCTAAACTTAGATGCTCACTTTGACAAGGGAGGGAGGGAGCTCTCCTGGCAAGCAGAGAGAGCAACAGCTTCGCGTGCTCTCTAGGTGAGACTCTGTCCTCTTCTCTGCTCCCACCCCACTACCTGGGGAAAACTCTGACACCCTTCTCTTTGTAGGTCCCTTACCTTTAAAGTGTTATTATCTCTACAGAAGTCAACTGAGTGTTGTTTTTTTCCCCCAAAATGTAGGTCGTCTTGAAACAACTGTCCCTCATAAACATTCCATCTCAAACTTTTCTACACTTTGGCCAAAAAAAAATCTTTTCCTCCCCCTTTTTCACATTGACCTCAGGATGACTTTGGTGACAGCTTTTAAGCGAACTTGGTAACCATCCCTCGGGATGGACGTAGGGAGTGATGGTTTTTGATGACACTTCCCAAATAGAAAAGCAATAACAATAAACCAAGGACAGCGCTCCCCTCCACCTCCGTGTTACCATCACAAGGAGCCTGTGGCATGGACAAGTTGACTGGATTATTCCCCACCGGTGGTGCAGCTGGACATCCATCCCCAGGACGACGTATGGAGGAGACTGCAGAGGACGGACAGACCTGATTCTGCAGAGCAACTCTGCCCATCTAGATCAGTGAACAGGAGATACCGCAAACAGGAGACAAAGAGACTGGGCCAAACATGGACCTAGGACAGCTCCACAGATGGTACCTGGACAACATGGATGCCCTCTAAACACACCACGGAGAGAGGGGCTTCTGGAGAAATACTGGGTTCCTGGTGACTGGGGAGAGGTGCTAGGCAGGCAGGCAGAATAGCGAAGCACCCACACCGGAAAAGACACATAGAAGAGACCAGAAGGGAGGGTAGAGCTCTTCTGGAGAGGAAGTACCAAGGACAGAGTTGGTATGAGCAGGAAGTAGAGAGAGAATCTATTTTCTTTAAATATGCATGATTTGTTTAACCAATTCCCTAGTAAGAGGCATTCGAATATTTCCAGGGGTTTTTTTTTGTCTATTTTGTCTTGTTTTTCCCCCTTTTTATTGTTATCATAAAGTGGTGATATTTAGGTAAGCCAGGTAAATAATACTCTTTTTGGTCAATGAAGTGGGTCTTATTTGCTTTGTAATTTCAACCATTCTTTAATGAATATCATACATCTGGCTGTACACTTGATAGAGAGTATAACCAAGGGATAAATTCCTAATGAAATTATTGAATTCTTAATTCCTAGTGAAATTATTGTGTCAAAAGGTTATGATCTTCTCATCTACTTAGAAAAGACCGAGAAAGAGATTTGTCATCGAGGATTGAGATAGCCCAGGGACTCAGGCTTGGCATTATTACCTGTTTATTCTAAAAGTGGATGCAGAGGAGAGAAAAGATGTGAGGTATCAAGCCCCAGAGAGATGGGAAATTTAAAGCAGCTCCTAGTCTTCAAATGCCTTGAAAATCACAGTGTAATATTCTGACCACATTCCATTACCTACAATGCTAGTTGCCAGATTCCAGGAATATCAGGACTTGTTGCCAACCCCAGGGCCTCTGGTTCAACAAATCTGAGGTGGGGCCTGAGACTGGGCATTCCTCTGAAATTCCCAGTAAGGCCATTTAGCTGATTCTGGTACCAGCCCAGCAACACCACTGGGTAGCGAGAGACTCCAGGAGGGCCCAGCTGACTAGCATCTGCACTTGGGTTTGACCCGACATTTCTAACTTCAGAAAAACATTAACTACACTGATGCAGTCATTCTCAGCCTTGGCTCCCAGTAGAACCACAAGGGAAACCTTAAAAAAGAAGAAGAAGAAAGGAAATGCTCATGCTGATTATAACCAAGAGACCAGGATGTTCATAAGGATCCACATGGCAGGAGGTTCATGAAGCTTCTAGACGATTCTCTGTGCAGGCCAACTTGAAAACCTCCATTCTATTGAAGTGCCTGGGTGTCTCTCTGTGGACTGTGGACACTGGGTTCGCCATGTCCCTCCTGCCTCTCAGTGTGGACATCACAGGCACCAGGGCAGGGTGTGGACAGTTTTCATGGTTGGATGTGATGATTTGTTGTGATCATGAACAGATTTGCCCAAACAAAAGACTTGGCTGCTGATTTTACCACAATTTCAGGGCTACATCAAGATGGTAAAGGCAATGGACAGAAAGACAAATGGTCTAAAATCCGCCACCCTGATAACAGTTCTCTGTTCTATCTCCAAGGCACATGCCTAGAGCTTGGCCTTCAAAGAGCATTGTTAATGTTTCTATTGTGACTCGGAGACCACAGGTTGAACTCAACAAAGAGATTGCATCTCTTGGCTAAAGAAAGGTAACTTTTCCAGGATCTTTCCCGAACTTATTGGTGGTATTTCAGTGACTGACAAACAGACAAAAATATATTTATTTAGGGATTATTTATATTGAAAACTAGACATGAGATTTTTTTTCTCTGTCAACATTCCAGTAATATTGGCTATTTGAACAAAAGGAGAGGTATTTTTCCATTCAATCCTGAATGCTCAGAATTCTCCAGTTTATATTCAGAAAGACATTTGGTTTTATTGATCATGTTAGCCGAATAAGTTTAAACTCCAATAGCCAGGCAAGAAGAAGTTGATTTTCTCTTTATTGTAAAGGTTATTAAGAGGAAATCAGACTTAGAAGCTATTTGTCTTCAGGAAATCCTAGAGTCAGAACCACTCAAAAATGTTCTAGAAGTTTTGTTCAAAGGCAATACCTATATGATTTTCAAGAAATACCATGTCTGTTGGAGGGATATTAGTTTTCTTTTTTAAGATGTGCCCTATCTCAATAAAGTGCTTTGTCTATGGCAATCGATACTATTTCTCGGCTTTTAATTGATAAGAGTTCCTACATTCCAATAACAGTCTAATCATCAATCGAACCCAGTTGGATTGCCTATAATCCAGAATTCTTCGTGATAAATGGTAACCTCTTTGTCACACACTTTCTCAGAACCCATTATTACGAATAATAATCTTTTCTTGGTATTTTTTCCAACTGTTATCCGATCTGAAAAAAGAAAGAGGTGTCTAAAACACTAGCTGAGAGAGATTTTGCTAAATTTCTCCCAAGTTTGTGTGTGTGTGTGTGTGTGTGTGTGTGTGTGTGTGTCTGTCTGTCTGTCTGTCTGTCTGTCTGTCTGTGTCTGTCTGTCTTTGGGTTGCAGATTTCAGGGAAAGCCAATTCTCCTTGGACAATTCTCAAAATCACTAGCAGTGGTGCTTCAAAGAAAAGCTCAGATGCCACCAAAAAACAAAAACAAAACTCTTTTCCTGGGTTTTTTAGACATTTTGTAAATCATCAGTGAAAAGGAAAGGGGAAAATCTATGGTTGGCATATCACACTATGGTATTAAAGTCACAAGTGGAGGCAGAAAATTGTCCCCACCATCAGTCTTAAGAACTCATGCTTTTTTTCAGATAAGATTTTTTTCCCTCAGAAGTTTCTTATACGTACTCTCTGATAGGATTGTGTGTCTCTTCCAACCACTCTCTCCTTGCTTCCTGTGAGAAATCCGGGATGTGATTTATAGAAATGACCACAATATTTTTTAAATGAAGTTATGCAAATCTGATAGACTAAAGTAAATGTTTCATAAAACCAATGACTGTTTAAACTGTAGGACTAAATTGTTTGTATATAAATATTACCTTTTATATTCCATTTGAGTTTTATGTAGATGAACACATTACTTTAATGACCTGCATTTACGGAGGGAGAGGGAGAGAGTCGCTCCCTGAAATTCTCACCAGCCAGATGGCTGCCTTTTCTTGCATGAGATTAAAAGATGTTTCTCATTCGCCGCGTGCTTCTGAGGCAAATTAATATCGCCGGCTAAATTGCTTGTGTTTTTGGAATAAAATTTAAAGAGAACTTTTTAAAGTGATTGGTGTCACAGGTTCTCGGAGCAGATTGCTCTCCAGGTAGAGAGACATTCGGTAATTAATGGAAAGAATTCTGTGTTAATTGACTGCTTCGGGAAGGGAGATATAATGAGTCCTTATTAATCATGAAAAGAGATGTACAGCATGAAGGCCCCACAATAATTGCTCCAACAGTGGAGAAATGTTAATTAATGAAAAGAACAATGATGTAAGAAATTAGCTGCATAATGCTCACCACCAGTGGTGGTTTGGATTTGAAGCACATTATTTAGAATGGGAACCACAAAATCCTGCCTTAAACAGCAGATCATGCACTCAAATTTCGTGTGGTAAGAGGAGGAAAAACTTCTCTCCCAATTCCTGACATCTTTTCTTAAAGAAGCAACAAATTTTTGCCCAGAGCTCTATTTATTTCAAAGAAAATGACCTTGTCATTCATCTGTAGGCTACACATCTAACAGCAAAAACGATCCCCAGTCCAAACAAGGTCGTTTATTAATGTCATTTAATTTGAACACAATTGAGTCCTTTTGACGGCTAAGGACAAAAAGAAGTGGAAGGTATGATTTCCACACCCCTAAACTGAAATAAGCAAATGTAAATCTTGATATTTTCTAGCTGATATCAAGAAAAAATTCAGACTCACTTTGGGATGTGGGTATCTTTTTTTTTTTTTTAAGAATCTAATTTCAAGTTTCAGGGAGAACCTACAGCTTCTTCTCTAACAAGTCATTTTCCAGAACAGGAATTGAGTTTATTAACATGCAGACCCTGTTGGAGCTCTGGTCCCCTGGTGTTTGAGCTCCTCAGAATCATTAATGGCCACGGGTCAAAGCCATCTTGATGGCTCTGCTGTGTCTCATACCTCCAGGATCCAACAGCAATACTTCTATAAGCACCATACCCAGTTCCTTGGATGGACTTAGAGGGACTGGCCTGCGCCCTCCAGCTGGTAGGGGAGTCCCGCTGACTGGGCCTTGCTTTTCCTTCCAGGTGGAATGTCCTGGGACTCCAGGGTGCCCTCCTCTGCCACTTCATCGAGCCCGTTTACCTCCACAGCATTGTGGTGGGCAGCTTGCACCACACCGGCCACCTCTCCCGGGTCATGAGCCACAGGATGGAGGACATTGGCCAGCTGCCCACCTCCTACCGGCACAACCGGCCACTCCTAAGTGGTAAGAAAACACTGCCCGGGAGACTGACAGCTTCTCCCCTGCACAGCATAAGATTTAACCTTTAACCAACCAATTATTTTATGTTGGGGGTGTGGGGTGGGGCTGGCCTGGGGCTTGAACTCAGGGCCTGGTCACTATACCTGAGCTCTTTTTGTTCTACAACTTTGAACCACAGCTCCACTTCCAGTTTTTTGAGTGGTTAACTGGAGATAAGAGTCTCATGGGGACTTTCTTGCCTGGGCTGGCTTTGAAACGCGATCCTCAGATCTCAGCCTCTTGAGTAGGTAGGACTACAAGCAAGAGCCCCTGGCACCTAGCTCATGTTTTTTAATAGAGAAAAATAAAATCACAAGCTAGGTAAATGTTTTTTGGATAAAACATGCTGTTTCTATTACTGGCATGCTTAACATCTACATGTTTCAGTCTTGGAATTTCTGCATCTATGCTGAGGGGGAAAAAAAGGACGATTTTTTTTTTTTCCAATGCACAGCAAGATTGTGACATTGAATATAAAATTTTAGAGAATCGATTGCTAAACTGTTTTAAAAATTGTTGTAAGACTCTTGGTTTATGTTCATGTGACAAACATTACTGTATCGGTGATAAACCAGAGATTATCCACTGCCTTTCTCTGTGATACATATTGTCCTCGATTTTAGATGTATTTCTGCTGCCGCTCACTTTTCTATTTTTGTGTGAGTCCAGATTTTTTTTTAAATACCTTTCCACCAAGCTGAAGAATCTTAGGTAGAGTGTAAGACCTCTTTAATTCAGGAGAAATTTCTGAACTTTAATGCTCATGAATAGTGTTTCGCAAAATAACTCTGGTAATAGCCAATATTTTCTGATATATAGAGCATAACCTATAATGTCATTTTTTTATGTTACAGCCAACACAGATAAATGATGAATCAACAATTTTTTCATACATCTTTTATGTAAAACACGTGAGGTTTAAAAAATTTTGAAGCCAGACATAGATACACACCTGTAATTCCAGTACACAAGAGTCTGAGACAAGAAATCTCAAGTTTGAAGCCAACTGAGGCTCCACATAAAGGGGACTCTGTCTCAAAAAAAATCTTTTTTTTTTTGAACAGACAGTTTTGTCCTGCTCCCACAAGTCCCAGGAAAATACTTCCATTGTCAATATATTTTAGCTAAACATCAACAAATTTATCAACATAATCCAGGCATGTATCTAATCATCAACAAATATATGTTGATTTCTTACAAGGTACCAGGCACATCCTACTAGAACAGTGCCTTGTGAGCCGAATGCTAAAGGAGAAAGTGAGCATAGGAAGGGTCTAGAGAGTGAGAAACTGTGGAACAACCAAGAAGAGAGGATACTGAATACAAACAGAAGAAAGGTTTCCAAGGAAGTTTCCAGAAACAGGCAGGTTACAGCTGCCATCTTGGGATAAGCAAATCAGAAAGAATGGTGGTTGAGGGCTGGTTCCCAGATCGAATACTAGGCAGGTAGCTGTGGCATGCATAGAGCAAAGGGCAGACTTGAACATATCCTAAAAGCCATTGAGTTCTACCTCTTGGCAGGTGGCAAGTTTTCTGGCACCAGGAGCTGGTAAATAATTAAAAGAATCTGGTATTATAAGAACAAGGTTAGAAAACAGCAGAACCTGACAGCTTCCTGGCCCTGAACACTGGATAACTTTCGAAGAATGTTGGGAACCTGTGCCGATTCAGAATGCAGAGTGCAAGCCGCAGTCATTTATCTTTATGAATAAGGCCACAATCCTTTTGACTGTAGAAACAAAGTCTCTGGAAGTCAGTGGAGGCACTAACTCTCCTGAGAAGACAGGCTTCAGGCTTCACGGTCCAGGTGACTTTGTTGCTGCACCTATAAACCATCAGACAGACACTCATGTATGGCGCCGCCTGGTGGCTATGCTCATGACCTTAGAGTGTGCATGTCCAATCATCAGCTGCCACGTATTCCACTGGTCAATGAAGGAAAGCGATAGTGGACTGTTATTTCTAAATACAAGCAGAAGCGGTGTCCTCCTATTACGCCATCTCCAGTATTTTCCATATATTCTCCATTAAATATGCTATTTAAGACAAGACAGTAGCTATAAAATGACGGCCAATTACGATGGTGTTTTTATTAGTAATAATGAGTAAAGGGACAATACAGACTTAAAAGTTACCACAAATCCATAAGTGCATGATACATTTACTAATTCCACTTTGATTGCTAATTCTACTTTAATCCCTCTGTGTGCGCATGCACATGTGCATACGCATGTATGTATGAGAGAGAGAGAGAGAGAGATCCCACAGTGTATCTAGCAGTAACTAAAATTCAGAAGGTCCCTTCTATTCCTGCCAGTTTGTGATTCTCTGCATGCCTGGAAGCATGCTATTTCGTTCATTTCCCAAAATTAAATGTAATGCCCTAGTATTATAGACTTGCCTCACTTCATGTAAAAATTATATCCCTGAAATGTCTTGTGTAAATTTGATTTGAGGGAGAGTGAATTACATTTTAAGTACAGTAGCCTTGCCGGATATTTAATGGCAGGCTGTAATAGTCTCACTTCTATAATGCCTTCTTATAAAAGGTAAATAAGGTGCTCTCCTTAAAATAAAGCATCTATATTTAACTACATGGGCCATAATAAAGCTTATTTCATGGAAGAATTATGGATTTTTTTTTTACCAGTCCTAGGGCTTGAACTCAGGGCCTGGGCACTGTCCCTGAGCTTCTTTTGCTCAAGGCTAGCACTCTACCACTTGAGCCACTGTGCCACTTCTGGCTTTTTCTGTGTATGTGGTACTGAGGAATCAAACCTAGGGCTTTGTGCATGCTAGGCAAGCACTCTACCACTAAGCCACATCCCAGCCCCAGAATTATGGACTTTTTAAGGACACATTTTCCCCCTCATCTTTTCTTGGACTGTCTGCATGAGTTTCTTGAAGAGGACCTCGGAATGGCAGAGTGCAGCGGTGAGCTGTGCTTCCCTTGCTCACTCCACATATCCAGCCTGTCCACATTAGAACCTTCTATGGAACTGTCTGCATGGGTCTGTAGGCTAGAAGCCAGTGCAAGCCGAGCACTGGTGGCTCACACTTGTAATCCTAGCTACTCAGAAGGCTGAGATCTGAGGATTATGGTTCAAAGCCAGCCCAGGCAAAGAAAATCTGTGAGACTCTTATCTCCAATAAACCACAAGATAACTGGAAGTTGTGCTTCCTCAGCACCACATAAGCAAAAAGAAAAAAGCTGGAAGTGGCGCTGTGGCTCAAGTGGTAGAGTATACTTTCCTTGAGCTGAAGAGCTGAGGGACAGCACCCAAGCCCACAGTTCAAGCCCCACAACCGACCAAAAAAAAAAAAAGCCAGAATGACACCTGGCAAGTAGACTTAAAATTGGCAAACTAACACATAGTGAGGGCAATCATACCCATGTGCAAAAAGTTTGCTTAGAAACCAAACATCTCCCTCTGGGACCCAATAAACCAAAGAGGAATCTGGAAGTCATCTGGCCAACTATGTTAAAATATCTTCGGAAAGCAAGTCTAGGCTGTGTGTGTGTGTGTGTGTGTGTGTGTGTGTGTGTGTGTGTGTGTGTGTGTGTAGAGCAAAAAAAATCTGAAGTTTAAAGCCAAGCCTATATGCATAGTGAAACTCTGTCTCAAAATGTTTGTTTTGGGGGGGTTTTTGGGGAGGGTTGTTTGTTTTGCTCAGTTGTGGGGCTTGAACTCTAGGCCTGGGCACTGTCCTTGAGCTCTTCAACTCAAGGCAAGAGCTCTACAACTTGAGCTACAGCACCACTTCTGGTTTTCTGGTGGTTAATTGGAGACAAGATTTCTCACAACTTTCCTGCCGAGGCTAGCTTTGAACTGTGAGCCTCAGATCTCAGCATTCTGAGTATCTAGGTTGACAGGCATGAGCCACTGGCACCCAGCAATTTTTTTGTTTTTAAGCAATCTGTTCTGTCTTATCATTATTCCAAGGAAAATACTTCTATTATCAATATTTTTAATTTTATCCTAACAGCTTCAAGTTTATCAGCATAAGCTGGGAATTCATTTAATCATTTCACTATATATATATATATATATATATATATATATATGTAAATATATGTATATGTATATATACACACTTATATGCCAGGAACAATCCTGGACATGGTGGTATATAATACACATATATACATGTATATATTGGCAAGTAACAAATAGATTGGCAAGTAACAAACTAGGAACACATTTGCCCTCAGAGCTTTCAAAACTCACTCCTGCAAGGCCTCAGCCTTCTTGGGGAAAGAGGTAGCCTGGTGCTGCTCAAGCTTTAGGTTAAAAAATAAACTAACATTCCTAGTCAGGCACGTGGGGTATACACCTATAATCTCATCAATAGAGAGTTGAGGCAGAAGGATCAGGTTCAAGGCTAGCCTGGGCTGCACAGTGAGTTCAAAGTCTGCTTCAGCTACGTAGTGAGACCTTGTTCTCAGTCTGTTACCATCATCAGCAGATGACATCCTCATAGCTGTATCCTGTCCATTGAGCAAGGTGTAGATGGAGAATGTAGTACCAGGCTGACATGAACAGTCTATAAAATAATTGCATGCTTAACTGTATATTGGTACATTTGCCTTTTAGATTCAAGTGAGCCTGGTTGCATCTCCTTGGGTATAATCAGTGTCAATCATTAATTATAGGGGTGTCAAAATTGTTCTGCTGTCATGAATATTTAGTAAACATTGCAAGTGTGATCTCTATGTGGTAGATTAAAAAAAAAAAAAAAAACAGAGGTGTGAGAAAAGAAAACCATTCTTCCTGGTTGCTCTGGGAGCTGTGGATTTTTTGGTAAACTTTTCTTTCTTTACTTTTCTTTATTTCCTTCTTTATTTTTTCCTTCCTTTTCTTTCTTTCTTTCTTTCTAGGGATTGAGTTCAGGACTTTGTATTTGCTAGACAGGTACTCCTCCTCTTGATCCACCCCTCTAGCCAATTGCTCTGGTTATTTTCAAGATTCTCCCTTCCCCCCCCCCCACCCTCCCCCCTTTGTAGGCTAACCTAGGGTATTATGCTTTATAGCTGGACTGCCAAATAATTGTATCATTCTCAGCTTTTTTCTGTTTATGTGGAAGTCTTGAGAAATTTTTGCCCAAGTTTGCCATGAACCTCAATCTTCCTGACCTCTCTCTCTCCCGAATAACTGATTTACACAAATGGTCCTCTAGTGCCCAGCTTTGGGGAATTTTTTTTCTTGCAACTAAAGAACAGAAGATACCCCTTAAAGTAGAGGCCCAAAGTGTACATAGACAACATCTCCAACAGGAGTAATACACATGTTGAATAAAAGCAGAAATGAAAAGAAAACATGTGTAATGTAAAAGGCATCCTGATCTTTGTTTATTGTCTGCTATCTTATTCCCTGGAACAATTAGGTGATTTATAATTAAGTTGGCAACGTTTCCTGGACTCTAGCTGGGAACATCTTTGATCTATGTGACTTGCAGGGCGCTAAACAAACGGGAGTTGACCTTCAGATCCTCCTTCAGGTGGAAATAGCAATGAGCATAGCACTTGATGCTCTCAAAGTGCTCTCACCTGTCTTCTTGACATTTGCAGCACCTTGTGAAGCAGAGAGCAAAAGAAGGAAAAGAAGGGAATGTGCCAAGTTCCCAGAAAAAAAGATGAACTTGAACCAAGGGTCTTGTCCCACAGGCTTGCCAGCCTGCACTTTCCCTCAGCTACACCATTTGAGGTTTTTTCCCTTCCTTTCTTCCTTCCTTCCTCCTTTCTTTCCTTTCTTCCTTCCTCCCTTTCTTCCTCCCTTCCCTTTCCTTCCCTCCCTTCCTTTCCCTCGCTCCCTTCTTTTCCTTCCCTCATTCCTCCCCTCTCTCCTCCCATCTTTCCCTGTCTCCTCCCTTCCTCTGTTCCTCCCTCCTCTCCCTCCTCCTCCCCTCCATTGTGTTTGCCTCATCTCCCATGTGTAGAGCAGAGTTCGTTGCCAAGATGACATGACTATCTCATGGCTGCCTCCCAGTCCTGTCAGAGCCTCAGTGAGGCTGGCAGACAAGTGTTAGGACTGAGGTCCAAGCCAGGCTGCAGCTGAGCCCTGTCCCCAGCAGACATCTGTGCACTAAGAGCCAACAGCAAAGTGGCAACACTTTCCACAGCCAAGAGGTGAAGGGAAGAGAGCAGGAGGAAAGACATCCTGCCCGGAAGCAGGCAGGCCACACGTTCACAGTGAGCACTCCAAAGCTTTCCTGTGAGTTTAGGGTTGAGGATTTGGGAGACAACCCAGCTCTGTGGGGTCATGGTCAGTCCTCCTCATCATGGAAGAGCCTAGAAGGGAGGAGGAGGAGGAGGAGGAAGAGGAGGAGGAGGAGGCGGTGGCTGCTGTAATGCTGAACCCGGCTGCACACATATCCGGAGTGGGGAATGCTTCTCTTTGTACCCAGTCATCCTTGACCTCAGCAGCTGCCTCCTTCTGCCAAAATGGTCCCTGCCCAGTAGGACCGCCCGTGGCTGCCAATGGGCCAGATTGTCCCCCTGCCCAGCTCTCAGGGGTGGGCAGCTGCCACCGAGAATCACTATGAGGGAAAAAAGAAGAGCTGACATAAATGGAATTAGCCTGAATGTCCAACATTGCCCATCCGCAACCAAGAGAAGGTCACAGGGTGACTTTCAGGGTGGGAGCCGGACTGCATGCGTGACGGACGGCCAGCTCAGACCTGTGTTCCGCAGAGAGCGGGCCTTGGCTCTACCCAAGAACCCCTGCACTGGAGACAAATGCTGAGGACACAGGATGATCATGGGGTCTGTGACTGTGCAGTTCAGCGTTGAGTGGGTCTTCCCCTGAACTGGAATACATGCTGACTCCAAGCGGGCACTTTGTGCCTCCCCAGGCAACAGGGCCCTGCCCGAGGGGGAGGAGGTCCGCTGCTGACCCCCAGGGTTTGGCTGTGCTCAGCTGGCCAGTGCTTTGCACTGCAGGAGCTTCCTGACACCAGGGATTATCCATCAACCATCAACAGCTGGTGACACATTCCCTGCAGAGCCAGGACAACAGTCCTCTCCAGACTCACGAGCAAGAGGATCGTGGATGGATCGCTATCCTTTCTACCAGGTGCTGGAAGGAAGGAGGGAGTGGGAAGACAAAAGGAGGAGGCAGGTGGGGCTGGGTGGTAGGCTGGCCCTCCTGAGCTAGAACTAGACAGGAAAGAGAGAGAGCCAGATGATGCAAAAAAAAGCTTTGGGAGCCCTGGAGTAGGGTGGGGGGAACTGAGAGACACAAGAGACTCCCCGTGGAGGAATATGAGAGAGGTTTCTGAGTTAACACCCAAATATTCCAGAATACCATTGGAGTGTCTACTTACTTTTGTGGCTTCACCATGAGACTCTGATCCATGTGGCATATCCCCTACAATGACCGCAGGCTGTATCATGCCCAGAGCAATCTAGAGAATTGACTCTAAAGTTGAGCAACATAACCTTCAAGAATGGAAAAGGAGGGACAACAAAACGTAAGGTGAAATAGTGCTGGAGTCTTGCTTACGAGTCCTCAGGTAGAATCCCGCAGGACGGGGAAATTTCAGCAGGTGCTCACTGCAGGCCATTCACCCCCTTAGCCCAGCATTTCCAGGAAGTCCTAGGCGGAAGGAGCAATGTTGGGAGATAATTGTGCAGGATTGGAGGGTGAGATCGAAAGTCAGAAGCTGCAAAGTATGGCCAGCTCCTTGTGACAAAGCTGGTGCTCTCCCACCCCAGGGCAGGAGGGATGCTCCACTAGCTCCCTCTGCTCTGTGGGCATGAAGATGGGCATAAAGATTGTGGAACCCCAGTTAGAAGTCAGAGCATACAACTTGGCAAGGGGAAACTGACACACTCTGAAACAAGGACTTCCCTCAAAAGTCAAGGTGTTTTCTGGGAAGAGCCAGCTTCGTGGACATAAAAATCCATCAAGTCACTCAAGGATCTGAACTGAGAAGGGTTCAATACTCAGTTATCTTCTTGAGCTTCATAATGATGTTGCAACAAAAATAACTCACATTTCACTATGCACTGTCTTCCAGATTATGTAATCAGTGTTGTTTCTAGATCACATTGTTTAATTATATGTATATATATTAGTTTTTTTCTCATTAAATAAACTATAAATCTAAGAATCTATCTAGGATTGCTTACCACCCCTGTGTTTTGCCTTGAACCTAACATGGGCATGCAGTAGGTGCCCAGTAAATACATACTCTTAAATTTGTTTTTACAGGGATGTGTTTGGTTCCTTCATTCATTCAACAAGTATGTATAGATGGGGAAATCTGGGCTGAATTTTATTAGCAAGCAGCCCATTAAAATCCTTTAAATTAAAAGGTTAAAAAATAGGCCCAACAATGACTTTCAGCAGGGGCAGCCCCTGATTTTTCAACCATCATCCTTACAGGTCACCTGAGACCTTCCATATGACTGGCCTTTAAAGATGAAAAGCAGGATGGTTTGCAGGTGACTATCTCATCCTCAGACACTCAGACGCAGGCTGGATTTCCTGTCATCTGATCTCTACGAGAGTTCTGTTGGGGCCAGGAATACTCATGCTTGACTGCCTCCCCTTTCTTTCCTGACAGGAGTGAGTAATGCCCAAGTGCTGCAGCCAGGGAAATCTCCCCACTTCAGTGTCAACTGGGTTGTGGGCAACGCGGACCTGGAGATTATTAATGCCACCACCGGGAAGAGGAGCTGTGGGAGTCCATCCCGACTCTGCAAGCACGTGTTCTCTGCCCGGTGGGCACGGCTGTATGGTAGGGTAGGTCGCACCTGTCCTTCCTGAGGGACAGCTGGCTGCAGCTGGACTCAGGTTCAAGCCCAGGGGAACGGGGCCTCATTTGGTCTGTGGTGAGGGTGAGGCAGGATGCCAACAATTAGCGTGGCTTTGTAGTGTGGCCAGGCCCTAGGCCAAGTGCCTTACCCCAGGTATCTATGTACCCCAGTACCTAGAAACTTCTCGAGTTCTATATTATTCCCAGGTCAGATAGAAGGAAACTATTACTCAGAAAACCTTAGTGATTTCTCCCAAATTTCACAGGTAGTTGTTGGAATTTCTCCCCAATCCCAAAGCCTACTGATTCCCACTACAGCAATATTCAGAACCTGATTTCTCTTCAGCAATAGGAATTTTGTTCCCCCTCTCGAAAACAAGAGCCAAGCAATAAAAAATGTTTTACTCATTTTTCTGTACTTTTTTCTTTTAATCCAGGAAATGATTCTAGATAGCAGTAATTGCATTGTGGTTTTAGGACAAATACAAAACACACAAGTCACGCTTAACATCTGATGGTCAACTTTAAGAATACTGGAAATTGCACATGTTCCTCTGAGCATGGTGGATACTTCTGCCCCTCTCACAACCACAGCAGACATAGGTCTATCTATGACCTGGCTGTCCATCCTATAGCTCTGACCAGAGCTCTCAGCCTCCATCCTGCCTGCACTAGCCAATTCCCCAGATCTCACTTCTTCCAAACACTTTGGAAGGTCAGGAAAGTGTTGATTTTTCTTACTAAACAAACAAGGCCTCTTCTTTTGCATTTGCTTAAGGGGACATTGGCCAGTATGTGGACACAATGATCTACAAACTCCAAACACCCTGCAATGCTGTGAGAATCATTGCTCCCCAACACTGGCCTGCCCTTCATCCTTCCAACATCCTTCGCTGTTGGGGAAATGAAGCTGCATTTGATCCCTTCCTTGTCTTGGCTCCAAAGTTTTATAACTCAGAAGCCTGATGGGGCTGACATGGATGCCTGATAGAGCATGTTCTATTTTTATTTTACTCCTGGTCAACTAAAAACACACCCCGAAGTCTTTCTTCTTTCCTGCCTTTCTCCCTTCTGAGCCCCTCGTCTTCCTTCCAAGATTTAAAACAAACTATTTAGCTTTTGTTTTTAACAGCACCTTAGGTATATGCTGTGTTGTGTGTGCTTGTTCATTGTTTGTAGACTTGATTTTAAAAAAAAGTTCCTCCATACCTTGGTGCCCATAGAATTGTCTGAACAGAACTTAAATAACTGGCACAACCATCGTTCTTTATCCTACTGCCTTTTATTTTAAGGAAGAGAGAAAGAACAGCAAAAAGGCTGAGACTAAGAGCTGGTTTTTGCTTAGAGAATTTCTCTGTGGAAGCTCCTGTGCCCACTGGTGATTGATCTGCTCTTTCCTCTTCCTGTCCACAGCTGAACACACGGTTCCCAAGCAATGGAGACACGCCATCCATGTACTGTGAGGCCAAGCTGGGGGCTCACACCTACCAGTCTGTTAAACAGCAGCTGTTTAAGGCTTTTCAGAAAGCTGGCCTAGGCACCTGGGTGAGCAAACCACCAGAGCAAGATCAGTTTCTACTAACTCTCTAAGTCACTGGACTCCTTAGCTATTGGACCGAAGAGAAACGCCGGGAGAGGACGTGGCCAAGTGTGTGGAGCGCTGTGGTGTGTCTGTTCATCTGTTCTCAGCGTTTACCTTCCTTCAGCAATCCAGAAACACATGGGTGTCCATGTTTGGATGAGCAACTAGAGTTGACTCCAAATCAATCAGTGTTTGGATGAGCACAGTAGATTTGGCTTCTCCCCTAGCTACTAATTCCAATAATTTTATCCACTGAATCTAGAGGTCCAAGCATCATTGCATTAGCTCCATCTCTTCTTTGTGACATCAAGAAGAAAGCATCTATTCAGAGAGCTTAGATGCAAGTTTAGAAGGTAGTGCTGAGGCGCACTTAGTTCAAAAATGAGCCTTATACACGGGCCTCTGGGCTTCCCACCCCTGCTATGAGCCTTTCTGGAGATATTTTTGGGTCTCACTAGCACAAGTTTATGTGACATTTCAAGATTAGTCACAAATGAAAAGAAAAAGCCATGGGCTCCCCCTCCCCAAATAAACTAATAGGAATGCTCTGTTGTTTTCATCATTTATTGAGGTCTCTCCATTTCCTTTCCAAAAGGATTTGAGGTGCACACTATTAAAGAACAAATTAAATAGGGCCAGGCTAATGAAAAACACACTTGCAAAGCAAAGGAATAATTGCCCAAGGCACCACAGAGTTACAATCCATAATGTAAGAAAATCATTATTAGATGTCCTATGGACAGAATATTGCAAACCAACCCAGGCCTAATCAGTCCATCACACCTCTTCCTTTATTTTGGTAGAGAATGTTAGCCATCAAAGTTTGAGTTCTCTGAGTTCATAGCTCTCCCCTACAAACTTCCATACAAGGTAGAGTCTTTTTAAACCAATTTTTATTAGAAAGTATACACACACACATACACACACACATACATTCTCTCATGTACACACACACACACACACACACTCACACACACACACACACACACACACACAAACCATCCAAATAATCCTTAATTTAGATTGAGGAGCTACCAGTTCCCTATCTTTTTTAAGTTTTCCATCATAATCTCACATGATTGGCAGAAAGAAAACAGCAATTCATTTACCATAATTGCCGAAATGTAAGAGGTAAGGTATCATCACCTTTAGAATAGCAGCATAGAGAGCTGACAGCTGGACACAGGACCCTTTGCGAGTTCACCAATAGCATCATTACCAAAAGGAGAGATGCTGGATTTGTGTACTAGGGAAGTTTACCTCTCTAGCACATCTTTCACTAACCTAGGTCTTTTGAGTTATTTGAACTTTACCACTGAGAACTGATTTCTAACATTCACCTTGCTAGTTGGCTGATCTCTGACTTCCATGCATTTCCTGGGTGAAATGCATGTAGCCACCTATGGAACTGTGCCTTTTGGTTAGAATTCCAAGAATGCAAGTGTGCCAGTAGCCTACAAAAGCCACAGCTATCACAACAATCAGGCAACAATGAGACAAATTTGAACGGAAGCTATTTGAAAAAAATAAGAAGTAGAAATACTATCATGAAAATGGGAACTTTTCCTGGGATTCAATATAAGGCCAAATGTATCACTCAAGTCCTTTTAGAAAAGAAAATGAGCACCTTAGTAGACAACTTCTTCAAGATAAAGTTTCAAAAGGCAAGAAGATGACTTGGCAATTAATGGCCTTGTGTAAAAATTGAAGGAGTGAAACAAAATCTTTTTTTATTCTCTTACTATCTTCAAGTGGTTCAACAAGCTGGAATAAAAAAAAATCTCTCAGTGGTTTTAAAGCTGAGATCAAAGGGCAAATTTATATAAATTTCTAACAACTTTGTCTATCCTAGGTGGACGCCTAAAGAACCAAAAAACTTTGAGAGTTGAGCTATGGCTTGGGTACTGTTTCTCAGCCATCAGGTAGCCAAAGTCCTTCTCCAAAAATACAGAGGAATAAATTGCTCATATGCTGAGCAGTTGCTTGGAGAATATCTAATGCTTTCAATCGATGTGCTCCAAACAGTGTTATTCATACAATAACACTGTATGAATAACAGATGCTGGGAGACTAGCATCAACGGCAGAGCCTTAATCATGGAGAGGAGAAGGGCTGGGGTGTCACATAAATGGGCTCGGTGAAAAGCACCCACATACTCTGATTTCAGGAATGGGAAAAAATCCCACTCCTATAATGAACACTTTGCGTGACCGAACTGCAGCTACATCACCAGGACTAATTTTGTCTAAGGCACTGGATCTCCAGAAAGCACCCTAACTTTACTAAAACATGACTACTTTAGTCAAATATTTCCCTCTGCGGAAAGACACCCATCGATTCCATTCTACCCCTTAGCACTAGCTCAGGGATTCTCATCAACTCAACAGGGGACTCCTTACCACAAGAGATGGAAGCTTGCTTGTTTATCACAAGAGCTTTTTAGTGCTTCCAGGAGTAAATTCAAGAAGCTGGGGCCAACCGTGGAGCACACTGGCTAGAGGGAGGGGTAGCTGAGTATCCTGGAAGATACCTGTCGCTATGAATGCAATAGTACAAGGAGATGGGAAGGGCACAGAAGGAGGAGAGTCTCAGGCTCTACTAGTGAAAGGAGACAGAGTGCTGAAACCACACCCAGAGCAGCAACATTCAGGGAAGTCAGCCAGACTGGTTCTCTGGATACATCTCTTCTCTGAAGCAACCAGGTAGCCAATCAGGACTTCCCATTGTGGCCACATGGTACCACATAGTAATGCCCTGCTCTCGACCTTTTGAAGCCTGGTCCACAGTAGAAATGGCCAGTTACAGGATTCTGATATACCTAGGATGGACAGGGCATGTGAACAACTGAGACAAATAGCTCAGTAATGGAAGCGTGCTCTGACTTCAGTGATTGGAAGAATGTCCCAACCATACGATGGGACTAGATCTAGCCTGTAATCTACTGGGAGTTTGTGTGTGTGTGAGAGAGAGAGAGAGAGAGAGAGAGACAGACAGACAGACAGACAGACAGAGACAGAGACAGAAACACAGAGACAGAGAGACAGAGAGGGAGATGTGTGATGTGTCCAAGCAAAGCAAAAAGAAGATGGATAGAACACAGTGTTAGGGAACATGCTGGCATCTAAGACACCTGACTGCTCCTTGGTCCATCTGACTCGTCTCCTTCATCTCCTTGTACTTAGCATAATAAATGGCTCAGAGTCCTTTGTACTCAAATTTTCTACATTCTGTTTTCATACCTGTTTAGCCCCTACTGAAATCCCAATAAAATCAGCATCACCCTTATTAGCCTCCAAAATACATAGTGCTTTCCTGATGGTGAGATTTAAGGTTTTCTGCCTGGTTCTTAAGTCAAAAAGTCAGTGTCCGATTATTTAGGAGCCTTTTCATGGGGCTGGGCTCAAGAGGGAGGGGACAGCAGACCACAGAGCTCTGCCAACACAATTCCTGCAACAATGTATAATAGCGAGTTAGTGAATTTAGGATTTCTTTGGGTCTTATTTTTGCCAGAGAAAGGCTTTGTGAGTCTATAATTATTGTTTCCTTTTCATTGCTACAATTGTCTTTCAATCTGTATATACTGATCATGCCACTACTGATTTTGTGATGTCTCCTTCCTCAGAAATGTCAAGCTGAGTCACTTTTTACACACACACATACACACACACACACACACACACACAAGCTCATACTTTTCCATGTAAATTTCCTTTTCACAGGAAACTGTTCTTATCAATAAAGTTAAATGAGTTTTTTTTGTATAGTGTTTACCATATTTGGAGAGCCATAAATAGTAAGTGCATAGTATATCAATGCCCGGAATAGAATAGTTAGAGTATTTTGATGAAATCCTATTTTTAGATTATAAATTTCAAGATGAGTCTATAGTAGCTTGTTTTTAAAAAAAAAGAAATTTTAAAATTTGCAATTTCAATATAGTAGACATTTTTAATTTAGAGGGTTCTTATATACTTATTTTTAAAGAAGCCATTCTAATGAAATAATGTAATTGGCCCACCATGCATTCACTCTCAGTGTCTAGTAGTAACCAAAGGAAAGTTAGAGAACGTCTTTCTTTTTGCACACTACTATTGGATTACCATGACCATTGCACTGGGCAAAACTTGCACCTTTGCCGGTTTCTCCATGGCCCTTTGCTAGAACTGTTTGTAGAGTCCACACTCTAGTCCAGGATTAGGAAATTCCCTCTGACGCACACTCAGAAGAGCTCCCCCTCCCCACTTTTGAGTTTCTGCAGTGTTCTCGGCAGAGCAGGGAATTCTAAGCCTGGTCCTACAGAAAAAGCTGTGGTAACCAAGAGGCCTCTCTGAGCTGGGACAACTCATCCCTTGAGGTCTTCTTGATAAGCTACACCTCTCCTACACAAAGTCCGTACGTACCATGTGTAGGGTACAAGGCAGCGAAGAGCCCGTGGGGACAAGGGGAGAGTGGAGGAGGATGGAAGGGGTCAAGCCCTGGCTGCTGTCCCTGGTCCTGACTTTCCATTGCCTGCTGGAGCCCTGCTGTTCTGGGAGCGGGGTAATAACGTGTAACTGTTGCCAAACTTCTCCCATGAATGGTGAATCCGATAAGAAAGGATGATGGGAACGAGGACACAGAAACTAGGAGACAATTGGTGTGTGCTACCCGAGGAAAGGCCACAGAGAAAAGGCAGATTCGTTCCCCCTGGTTTTTCCCTCCCCTCCATTCTGGGAAACCAGAGGTCATTTTCACATTAGCCTGGCGATTCTACCTCTGTAAGGTCCCTTTCTTATCTTTTCTTTTCTCTCTCCTCTTCTCTTTTGCTGCTGTCCATATTGTCTGCTCTCCTCTATCCTTCAACTTGTGCCTCCTTTGTTCTGATCAGTGAAAGGAATAAAGTCTCAGCCTTGCTTCTGCCCTGGGCTGATCTATGCAGCGTGATTATGCTCAAGATTAGGATGTCTTGGTGTGTTCATGTGATCGCGTGACTACAGGGATTTATAATCATCTTGTTGGACTCCTGGAATATTTCCATCTGATCTGACCTCCCACCAAAAAGAACACAGATGGCCACGTCTCTAGAAATTTGGGCCACACAACATGAATCCTTCGGGGAAAATGTACACTGTATCAAAGTCTGGAGAACAAAGAACCTTAATTTCCAACTTATCATTTAAAAACTCTGAGAGAGGGCGTGCCCTTTTAAAAATAAATACAAAATTTCCAGGCCTTTTTTCCTACAGGCACTAGA